AAAAATAAATAAATAAATAAATAAAAACCAAAAATCTTAACAGATCACTTAATCCAGAAAACCAACAGAGCAACCCTCCATTTCACCTTGTCTAGAGATACAAATGAAGCTACTCAATGAAGAAAATGTATTAGATACCATTAATCCCGAGAGAGTAACCTGGCAAAGTGGTTTCTGAACAAATGCACATTCCCAGGTTTGGCTACACAAACAATGTAAGAAGCCAGTTTTTTGTACAGGTAATTTCTTGAAGTAGATGAATTATAAAAAATACCATAAATTACTTGAAAAAAATCACCGAGAATAAGAAACTTTACAGTTACCAGGGCTCTAGAAGCCAAAGATAAAAAGCTGATGACTCTGGGGAATTAATCTTTCAAAGGCCAATCTTTAACCAAGTTAAATTTTATCTTTAAATCGAGCTGCTAAATAGGAATGTTAACATGCAAATAAAAACAAATACAATATCTAACTACTTAACATAATTCATAAGAAAAGGAGACTATAAAAGATTGAGGAATGAAACACGGTATTTCTCATCTAAACACCTAACAGTGTCTTACACATAAGACCACAAATGACCATCATGAAAAAAGAGAGTGCAACAGAAAGTAATGCTAATCAGCTCCCACTCCATCACTGTCACCATCAACCACCACTTCCATTCACTCTGGTCAGGACGACCAAAGACCCTTTCAAACTATTTGTAAAGGAGGTTTCTACTGACCTGTAAAAACGATTAACGAGTCTCATTCGAATTGTGTACAGATCCGTTGGATAAGCTACCACAGTACAGTACTTTGGATACGTACACAGATCAACTGGACCTGCAAAAGCTGCAGCTATGTCTGTGGAGGCAGAGAGAAGAACTCTTGATCAATAAGTTCATTACTTTTAAGAGATTATTCCTCTACAAATGATTTAAAAATAGAGCTACATTTAACACTGCAGGCCCAACCAAAAAGTAGCAAACAGAAATTACAGTGAAGAACACAACCACAGCTTGCTACAATTTTAAAATACTTTTGAGGAAAGGAAAACTTGAACATGAAACTTCACACTAAAAAACTTACCAAGATTCAGAAGTTGATCTATGCCACTAATAATTCGTTCACACTCTTCATCTCTCGATTTCTGACCCCATTCACCATCTTGTGGTTTGTACAGCAGTTTCTCTAGCTCGTCTGAAGTGACAGAAATACTAGCTCCTAATTCTTCAGGTGGATCAACTATGAATTACATTAAAAATAACAAAAAGAAAAATAATCAACCAAACATACACTATATTTAAGTTGTCAAAACTCATAAACAAGACACTACAAAGGAAAAAGTAGCTGCTTTACAGTGGAGAAACCTGGCAGACACCACCTAAATCACAAGATGAAGGTTAACAGCTTCAGTAATAGAACAAATGGATATCATGTGCCTCCTGATAGGATACACCGAGGACCATGTATCGCTTCTGTAACGCTAGTGCCAAAAATGCGAACCCCGAACGATGAATAAATATCAGCAAAGCCCAAACTGAGAGAAATTCTGCAAAATAACTAGCCAGGATTATATGAGAAAGGATAGTGAGGCTACTAAGATGCAGTCAGTATAAAACTGGAAGCCTAGGGTAAGAATTAATGAGCCAGACACACATTAATTCTCTGGAGTTTTAGTAAAGCTCACAGTTACCATAATAATTTGAAAACACTTCTCAAACTGAAAACACAGGTAAAATATTTTCATTATTTAAAAATTATATACCATTATCAGGAATTGGTTCCATGTCCCATGGGCTAAGTTTTTCAATTTCAGTATTGTCCCACCTGTTAAAAAAACAAGAAGTCCAGTTAGCCTCTCATAAAAATGACTGGTGGCTAATAACTAGGTATCCACTACAAAAGGACAGAAAATGTGAAAACCTTTTTGCAGCAATAAAAGTTTAAATATTAACAGTAAGATTTTTTAAGGAGGATATATTATGAGAAAAAAAGTATAAAAATGTATGGCGGTTCAAAGACAAAGCCAGAAATCCTGTGTGGCTTTACACAGGGTAGGTATAAGAAAAAAAAAACTCAAAGACACCATGGAGCCTTGAATGCCACACTTCAGAATGTGACTTTATTCCACAGCCAATGGGAAAGCAGCACAGACTTCCATAAACAAGGGAAATGATGTAATGTGTGCTCCTGAATAAGGATCCTGCAGTATTACGCTGAGGAAATACCAGGTGGCTACAGAAATGGTCCCAGGGAAGCAAGCAGAGCCTGTCCCAAGGGGGTACTGGCAAATGGGAAGCAACAGGGGCGTCCTAGAGATACTGCATGGAGGAGACTGATAGGACTCAATGACAGACTAAATCATAGTCTTTAACCTGAAACATAATAGTTCTTCATAAAACCACCCACCACAATGAATGAATGTTTATAGAGGATTAATTTTCAACTGCATACAGACCTAACGATGTAGCACTGGAAATGACTATCAGGGTACTGTGGCTGATATGGCTCTTGACTTAGCACTGTCCCAAACCACCAAGCATCATCAATGATAGATCGGAACCTGTCACCTGTAAGAGATGACCGAGTCTGAGACACCAATTTGCCAAGATTAACATTTTTAATTTATAAAGTACCGTGATATAGATAAGAGAAATTACTTCTTTATCTTAAAATTAGCCACCCTTCCCCACTTTCCAGCAATCTTCAGTGATAAAGTCAATGTAAAAAGATACAATGTTACACTTAATTTCCTTAAGGCATATAACCAAACAGTATAACAGACTAAAATAGTTATGACTAAATGCTGTTGTTTGGTGGATCTAAACACCTACCCCCAAAATAAGTTCCATTACATTTTACAACATGAAACAAAGAACAAGGTTTAATAAAACTCAAAAATCTTTTATAACAATGTGTACTATCAATAAATACTTGTTTAATAAGTATATTAAATACATACAGCTCTGAAATATTTCCTAAAGAATAAAACAAAATATAAAAGTATGATGAGAATTTAATCCATGATTATTCTAAAGTTGTTCCTATATAAATATTGCCACATAAAAGTGTTTTAATTCTTAAGACTTCACAATAAAAATCAGTTCTAGATGTACCCTTGGAAACACGTACATATTGATTATTTAAAAAATCGGGGGAGCCTGGGTGGTTCAGTCGGTTGAGCAACTGACTCTTGGTTTCAGCTCAGATCATGATCTCAGGGTCATGAGATGGAGCCCCAGTTCAGGCATGGAGCTTGCTTAGGATTCTCTCTCCCTCACCCTTTGACCCTCCCACTTCCCTCTCTTAAAAAAAAAAAAAAATTAAACATCCAAATATTCCTTTACCTCAGCAGGATGTAATAGAAGCAGGGAAGTAGATATTAGGAGGACTCCTCTACAAACCCAAGTAACTGTAGAGAGTGCTCCAACTAACCTCAGTCATTTTCTGAATGTATTCTGTAAGAACGCTTCTGAGGAACACGCTGTATGTGAGCTATTTCACAAACATTACAAAAGAAACACAGACTGCTATAATAACCCCACCTTTTCCTTCCCATGCTTTCCACCATTCTCAAAACAAAATCACTAACCAAAAAAAGTCACTTATCTATCCTTGGTAGATTCACAGTTCTTTCTTCAAGGAAAGTTTTACGGAAATGGTATCAATCAAAATTAATGCTACATCTCACTCCCAAGAAAGAGAATATTTACGTAATAAAATACCCACAAGTAGTATTAACTAAAGTATGCTTACACTGAATTCTATAAAACTGAAAAAAATAGCAATATTACAATTAACGCATTACTTGTTTTGAGGTTTGTTTTTTTTTTTTTTTAAGATTTTATTTATTTGTCAGAGAGAGAGCGAGCAAGCACAAGCAGGGGGAGCTGCAGGCAGAGGGAGAAGCAGACTCCTCAATGAGCAGGGAGCCCGTTGCAGGACTAGATCCTAGGACCATGACCTGAGCCAAAGGCACCCACTTAATCGACTGAGCCATCCAGGTGTCCCAGAGGGTTTTTTTAAATTATTTATTTGAGAGAGAGAAAGAGAGCGAGAACGAGAGTAAGCACACAAGCACAAGCAGGGCGAGTGGCAGGCAGAGGGAGAGGGAGAAGCAGGCTCCCCGCTGAGCAAGGAGCCTGATGCAGGACTTAATCCCAGGACCCTGAGATCATGACCTGAGCCAATGGCAGCCACTTAACTGACTGAGCCACCCAGGCACCTGGTTTGAGGTTAATATATTTTAAAATACATGTAAACATGACTTTTATGTATATTTCATATTTTCCAAAATCATCAGAAACCTGTAAGTCTCTCATCCCTCTACCCACCTCTCTGCCACTAATAAATTTCTACTTTTGATAATATTTCATTAACATAAATATTCTAAAACAGAACTTCATCTTTAGAAAAAAATCTTGGTAAGTTCTTCTAACTTTTTAAATGAAAGGCATATAGTAAAAATTTGATATAATACCCTGGTTTTTACCAATTATGTAATGTAAATAACCTAATTTAACATAAATATCACCCACAGTATTTATGTAATAGATATTATTGTAATAACAAGTCCAGTGGCTTCATTTTGAGATGCCTAACATAAATTCATGGTTATAAAAAAGCCAGTCTTTGATAGCAAGAATTAACTTTATTTTCCTCATTTATTTAAAACTAGAAGATACTTTCACAGTTTAAATAAAAGTATTTTTTCGGTGTAAGATAACACTTTTAATTAAAAGGAGCCTTAAGAAATCACTTTTCTGGGTGCACCTAGCTGGCTCAGTCAGAGGAACATGCAACTCTTAATCTCAGGGTCATGAGTTAGAGCCCCATGTTTGGTATAGAGATCACTTAAATAAATTTTTAAAAAAATAAATCACTTGGGGCGCCTGGGTGGCTCAGTTGGTTAAGCGACTGCCTTCGGCTCAGGTCATGATCCTGGAGTCCCAGGATCGAGTCCTGCATCGGGCTCCCTGCTCAGCGGGGAGTTTGCTTCTCCCTCTGACCCTCTTCCCTCTCGCGCTCTCATTCGCTCTCTCTCAAATAAAGTCTTTTTAAAAATAAATACATAAATAAATAAATCACTTTTCTGAAGGTAAAACCTGGCTTTTCCTTAAGCATAAAAAAAAAAAAACCAAACCTATTTTTGCCTATACAAGTAGGATAAACTTGAGGAAAGATAGTATGGTAGAACTTGATTAAAGTTTTCCATATAGGAAAATCAGAATCAAGAAACTTCTTCTAATAGTACTCCTCAAACTTAAAGAGAACAGGTAAGAGTTTATGGGGGAACAAAACTGAATTAATTAGAAGATCCATTTCTCAACCACAAAAATAAAACAAAGCCACTAAATTGCAAGAGGCAAGTGGGAATCCATCTCTAGAGCTGAGCTAAAGAGAACGGAGTTTAAAACAATTTTTGGATGCACATGTTGGTGGAACAAAAGGACAGCTTCCAACTTAGACATCGTTGGGGCTGGATAAATAGTTGGGAATAGATCCCATAATTAGATGGGAAACCTGAAAGTTCTTCAGAATCTGGCTATAGGACTTGTTAACTCCCACACGTTCCAGATGACTCGAGTTTGGTTTTTGTTGTTTCTGTGTGTGGCTAGATGTTTTTCTTCAAGAAAAATTTCCTTTACCTCTAGTCCCAAAATAATGCTGACTACTTGAGTGGACATTACCATTAAAAACAGTCTACTAAGAGCGGCCACATTCCCTGACAATCTTTCGTTTCAAATAGGGATGGCTCGGGGAATTTATCTAAAATTTACCTATTTGTAGTACCTGTAGAAAAAGGCAACAAAAACTAGGAAAATTAATGAGGTCTTAATATCATTTACAAATGTGTACACCAGATGTAAAACTTAGTATTTCTAATAAGAGATCTGATAAAACTTAGTATTTCTAAGAGACCAAAACTGATAAAAGGAGAATGAACGATCGTAAGTGATTCAAGTCAAGCTCAACACATGAGCTCCCCAGACAGCATTCCAAACTGAAAGTAATATATGCACACCTATGAAATGGGTACTATACTACAGTTGCTAACTAGTATTACCTGGCCTGGTTACAATCATCAATTTTGTCCCATGGAGATTAATGACCTACACAGTCAAGCAAAGGAGCCCACCAGCCCACCCTAAATGGTCACCACAAAAACCACAGTCAAGCTAGCATGTACATTGAGGTAATTTGACTTTTTTGTCCAGCCAGATGTCTCAGGGTTATAAAGTGTAAGTGTTCTATGAATTTATTTTTTAGAGGAATGGTTTCCTCAAGTCAACCTATTTAAGTCTGGGTTGATAACGACATTAAAATAAAATATTCTGGGATACCAGAACATTATCAGTGTGAAATCTGCATTATTTTTCGCCTTTCTGATTGTTTTATATCATAGAATAATTTTGTGAATTATGCCAGTCACACTAAAAAGACAGAAAAAAGGCAGTGCGAGGAAGTCTGAAAGGAAATAAAAGGTCAATTCTAGCATATAATCAATGAGTAAGAAATAATCCCTTCAAAACGTCAGCTACTGTAAGAATACAAGAAATGGTGCTTGGCTAAAAAGGGTATTAAGGAGAAGTAAGTACCAAGCCCTAAGCAAAATATACTCCAGTCACTTGTATCTTCCCACGACTTACATGTCTGCATCCACTATAATAAGCAGCACTATAACCAGTAAAATGAGAGATCATCTTCTAAAGGCATATGAAACTCAGTAAGGATGGACTTACAAGACTGCCAATTCCTCTGTCTTGCTTCATCATAAAATTGACGCAATACAAGAAAGTCAATAACATCTGGCATATCATGATACCTAAACAGAAATATAAAAAACTGTTAAACTCCCTGAGTAGCAGGTTACAGCCTAGGGCAAAAATGTCAAAAAGAAATAGGATAGGAGCTGCACTTGTAATTTTTATTTTTCAACTAGGTTATTAAAAAAAAAGTGAAAAAGAAGCTAGTAAAATTAATGTTAAGAGTGTATTTTATTTAACCTTACATACCCTAAATCCTGTTTCACAATGTTATCAGCACAAAATAATGAGACACTTTACATAATCTTTTTCTTCGTATCAAGTCTTCAAAATCTAGCGTGTACACTTAACATCACACTCAATTGAAATCCGCCACATTCTAAGTGCTCAAGAGCCACAGTGGCTAAGGGCTACCATAATGGACAACACAGGCCTAACAAATTATTTATTCTAACATTTTCTCAAAAATAAAGACAGAAGAAGTGTCCCCTCCAGGCCAGAATTCTCCACACATTTAAGTGGCATGGGGAAAGGTATAAAACATGCCAGTGCCTAATTGTTGCTACAGCACATGATCTTTACTTCTAGTGGGCTCCCATCTACCAGGAACCTAACTCACAGGCTGCCTACAGTGCTCTACCCCTTCAGCTATGGAAAGGACACGCTCATCAGCAAGAGAAAAAAATCTAAATAATTCCATAAAAAAATAGTAACACATACCTAATAGAGAAAGATTTGTCCATTAATCTTCCAGTTGCAGGATCTATAAATGCAAGTTTGAGGCAACAGAGTGTAGGGGGCCCAACCTCATATCGTATTCCAACTATTTTGACCAATTCTTGATCCTTTAACAGATATTTTTAAAAGAGCAAGTGTTTAAAATGGTTTAAAACAGAACAATTCCTCAAGACTATAATTCTCCATATTGCCACAGTAAGTCAACTCACAATTTAGCTTCCAATTTAACATTAATTACAATAATTTTTGCTAATGTTAATCTTCACGAATCTTTTTTAGGATAGACATTTAATACTGTTTCTAATGTAAGGAATATACTCACTTTAGAAAATATACCACAAGTGATATATACAATGGAATATTATGCAGCCATCAAAAGGAATGAGATCTTGCCATTTGCAACGACGTGGATGGAGCTGGAGGGTGTTATGCTGAGCAAAATAAGTCAATCAGAGAAAGACATGTATCATATGACCTCACTGATATGAGGAATTCTTAATCTCAGGAACAAACTAAGTGTTGCTGGAGTGGTGGGGGGTGGGAGGGATGGGGTGGCTGGGTGATAGACATTGGGGAGGGTATGTGCTATGGTGAGCGCTGTGAATTGTGCAAGACTGTTGAATCACAGATCTGTACCTCTGAAACAAAGAATACATTATACGTTAAAAAAAAAAAAAGAAGATAGCAGGAGGGGAAGAATGAAGGGGGGGAAATCGGAGGGGGAGACAATCCATGAGAGATGACGGACTCTGAAAAACAAACTGAGGGTTCCAGAGGGGAGGGAGGGGGGGAGGATGGGTTAGCCTGGTGATGGGTATTAAAGAGGGCACGTTCTGCATGGAGCACTGGGTGGTATACACAAACAATGAATCATGGAACACTACATCAAAAACTAATGATGTAATGTATGGTGATTAACATAACAATAAAAATTTTTTTTAAAAAAGGAAAAAAAAAATACCACAAGTATTAAGAAGAACATATAAGTCACTAACCAGCTCAATATCTAAAGCAACTACTGTGAACGAACAATCTGAATTTCTTTCCAGCTTTGTTCTCTTCCTAGAGATACACAACCCTGTTTTGTGTGTTTCTGTGTAAACACACCTCATCTAATATATTGGTTCATTAGTGCTGAACTCACAGCCCAAAGCAGTATAACTCAGGTCTAAACAAGGTTTATCTAATGCACATACTTTCTCCATAAAGCACGTCATCACTTTCTTGTGCTAACACTGTAGAATACTTTAAGCACTACACTTGGGGGCTATTTTAAACAGCAAGTCACCAACAAAAAGCATAAAAATGTAAACATCCTTTCCTGTTGCATTCAACACACTGCAAAAAGGACCCTTATTTATGAGATGAGGGCTCAAATAAGAAGGCACCACCTTGCTCAATCTCAGCTGGAAACATGCTGGTCACGCAAATCTAATTTTTTGCCACTCTGTGCATGTTTGCAAATGACCAGAAAACATCCTGAGCATTGATTCTGGGTTACAAATAACATACACCAAGTAGGCAAAGTCACAAATATAGAATCTGTGAATAATGAGGATCAACTGTACTCAGAAGACTCAGTAGTGAGACAGACATACATCAATCAGAACATAACTCAAGCCAGTTCAAGAAGGACAGCCACTAAGTTAAAGGGGAGTTAAGAACGGCTATCTTTGCTAACAGCTGTTTTCATCTTCTAACAGTTACTCAAAGTATCAAAAACATTAAAGTATAAAGAACAAAATAAAAGTCAACTGTAGTGCTATTCCACGTATAATCACTATTGACTTTCTGATGTATTTATTTTGGTTGAGATACATGTCTGTAAATTTTTATCTTAACCACAAACAACATTTCACATCCCATTTTTCCTCTTAGTAATGAATTATAAAAATTTAATAGTTGTTCATTCAACAAATATTTTAAAAGCCTCAATTAAGCAGCGGGCTCTACATAGTAGTCAATTCTGTGAATGTACCATGATTTGATTCATTCAATACCATAGGACATTTGGATTTTTTCTAATGTTTTGTTTTTATAAACAGTGATATGAAATTGCCTTGCTCATAAATTCACATGCATTTCCAGTTGTATCCTAAATTACTGGAAGTAAAATCACTGAATTAAAACATCTAAATATTCTTCAGTTTCAATTCCAATTGTCAAAATAGCCTCCAGAAAGCCTGGGCTGTTCCATGGACCCTGTCACCAATGTGAGTAACTGGTAACAAACCAAAACCTTTGCTACTTGCTGAAATGTGGTAGTTTCTTTCTTTAAATGTTATTTAAAAAAAAAAAATTTATAAAATTGGTTAAGTACAGGGGTACGCAAGTGTTTTCATCAATCTAGTCTCTTATGCATGGGGTCCAACCCTTTTTAATTTGTATTTCCTCTCTTGAAAAGCCGTACTTCTTTTGAATATGTATCTTATACACATTTTAAGATTAATGATATATACTGCCAAGATGCCTTCCTGAAAGACTCTAACACACTTACAATTTTATACACCAGTCAGCAATACACAAAGACCGCCCACTGACAAACATGTCTTCCTACTGGATCTTAAGGCTTCCAAGGTGACAACAGAAATGTTTATAAGTAGGAAATCAATGGAAAGATAGTAATGAAATATGCCTCCAGTAGGTTTATTTTTAATGGATTTATAAATATTTAACTATACATGTGCTAAATGTTTAATGATTTAAAAATATCATCATCTTACCCTGAGATCCATTTTTCTCCATGGCTCCTTGTTAGGGTTCAGTTCATATATTTTATTTCTTCTGACAGCCTCAATATAAGCTTCATGACCCTGTCGAAAATATATTACCTGAAAAAAGCATATATTTACATTAAAACCTAACAGTAAAATATTTTCTTATGGTCCATATTCACGTTCTTAAATTTTATTACTCTCACCTCATCACCCATTTGAGGAACAAAAGGAGACTTTCGAAGTGTGGTGTCAGTTATCCAAACTGGAGGATGAAATTCATATAAATGTTCCATATTTGCAAGCTCCACCGGAGTCATCCTTCGCAAGTTCTGCCAAGGGGAAGAGAACAAGTTTAGTTCAATAGAAAGGGCATGCATACACTGTTTAATTGAAAAACAAAAGAAACTTCACCACTGAGAATGACTATTTATGGGCATGTCACCTAATGATTAGTTTTTTTTGTTGTTGTTGCTTTGTTTAAAATTTTATTTTATTATGTTAATCACCATACATCATTAGTTTTTGATGTAGTGTGCCATGATTCATTGTTTACATATAACATCCAGTGCTCCATTCAATACGTGCCCTCTTTAATACCCATCACCAGGCTAACCCAACCCCCCAACCCCCTCCCCTCTAGAACCCTCAGTTTGTTTCTCAGAGTCCATAGTCTCTCATGGTTCGTCTCCCCCTCCGAT